ACTTGGGGAGAGACTGCTGTTTTAAATAAATAATCAAGGTAAAGAGAGAAATAGAAAATCACAGTTACAAAACATAAAGGAAGGAGGTTTAACAGGAGTGAGTAGCTCTGACAGAGCTCAGGAAAAGCGTCATGGAGAAAACACCAGAGTGAGGTTTAAAATTTTTTTAATGTTTATTTTTATTTTTGAGAGGGAGGAGAGTCAGAGTGGAGGAGGGGCAGAGAGAGAGAGGGAGACAGAATTTGAAGCAGGTTCCAGGCTCTGCTGTCAGCACAGAGCCTGGTGCGGAACTTGAACCCACAAACTGCGAGATCATGACCGGAGCTGAAGTCGGGCACTTACCTGACTTAGCCACCCGGGCGCCCCCAGAGCGGGGTTTTAAAAAAGGAACAGAAGATGAGTGTCCAGAAGGAGAGGTGAAGGCCCGGAGGCATGCAAGGCACGGGACATTTGGAGGCCTGGGGGTGCGGGCAGAGAAATGAGAGCTAACGCCTTCTTCAAATGCCCTCATGGGTACTTAGCACTGCTCTAGTGGGGAAAACAGCCACCTGATTTTTAAGTAGAATCCTGAGTTTGGGGGCACCCGGGTGGCCCAGTTGGTTAAGTGTCCAGCTCTTGATTTCGGCTCAGGTCATGATCTCACTGTCGGTGAGATCAAGTCCCAGATGGGGCTCTGCACTGAGCGCAGGGCCTGCTTGAGATTCCCTCTCTCCCTCTCTCTCTCTGCTCCTCCCCTGCTCACACACTCTCCCTCTTTCTCAAAACTAACTAACTAAATAAAACAAAAGTTAAAAACAAAACAAAACAAAACCCTGCATCTGAACAAAATGAAACCCTCAGATACAGAAAGGCTGGTCTCCCGCCCAGCTCATCTCCCCTCCCCAGTCGGCCACTCGGAGCGCCTCATGGTCCCCGGCCGGCTCTGTGTTCTAGACAGCCACCATGAGGACACGCACACAGCAAACGCGGGCGCGTGTCGTTGGCCCTGGAAGCCTCCTGGGAAGCACATGCTTCGAACAGAGTCCCAAAGAAGGAAAAGTGACTCACCCAGGGTCCCACCACAAGGATTTCAGATCTTTCATTTTACTGAGGGCTCCAGAGCCCTGACACTCTGCACGGTTCTGATGGTCTGACCCTTGGCAGCATTATGGGGTAGATCCCGTAGCCCCCCATTTGACAGGCAGGGCACCGAGGCTCAGAGAGCCCAAGACACTTGCCCACAGCCACACAGCTCATCAGTGCCACAGCCTTGGGAAGCCTCACTGCAGAGCCCGTGCCCCCCTAACACCTGTCCCAACGCTATGGCTGGGTGTTCTGACCCCTGGCTGTGACCTCCATCACCAGCGAGCCACCCCAGCCAACAGACCAGCAGACAGTAGCACAACTAGCTGTGGTCACACGTGTAAAGCACGTGCCCTCATCCTCTGAGGTACCTCTCTCCAAGACGGAGGCTAGGTCAGCACCTTCCACCCCTGGAAGGACCCCGGTCCATCTTCAGTGTGTGTGACCCCCACGCCCACCTCTAGGCCAAGTGCAGAAGAGAGTTACTTGAGTGTGCGCAGAGCCCCCACCACCAGCGGGCCATCTCTAGGTCTCTCTGTTGCAGCTCTAAGTCCAAATAAGACCTGAGCACTAGCAGCTCCTGCAGCGGATTGGGTTGCCATGGTAACTGGACTGACCTGATTGGACCCATGCCAGCTACACCACAGGGGTCTTAGTTCCAAACCCCAGCACTCAGCGAATCACTCCGGTGCCTCTGGCTACAGGCTGCAGAACTCTGGGTGGGGGCCCCCGGGGGAGGGGTGAGGTGGGGTGAGGAGCGGCAGAGAGGCTCTCCCTACGTGTTGGAGGCGGTGTTCTTCAGCCTCGGGACCAAACTGCCGAGTCAGGATTGGATCCTGGTGGAGTTCAGGAGCGCCTTTCCTTAGCCTTCGGGGTTTTGCTACCTCCCAGACCCAGCTCTGGCTTTTGTTTTTGTTTTTGTTTTGTTGTAAGATTTTATTTTTTTAAGTAATCTGTACACCCAGCGTGGGGCCTGAACCCACAACTCCAAGATCAAGAGTCACTTGCTCCACCGACTGGGGCCCCCCCAGCTCTGCTGATCAGAAGCGGCGGGGTGTCCAGGGATTGGCAGTTCCCAAGGCCGCGAGCTGCCGCGAGCAGGGGACGTGGGGGGGGGGGGGGGCAGGCCAGGGAGAGAGTTCTGCTTTCGCTGCTTCTCTCTTTCTCTCTCTTTTTTTACATTTATTTATTTTTGAGCGACAGAGAGAGACAGAGCACAAGTTGGGGAGGGTCAGAGAGAGAAGGAGACGCAGAATCCGAAGCAGCTCCAGGCTCTGAGCTGTCAGCACAGAGCCCACACGGGGCTCGAACCCATGAACCGTGAGATCATGACCTGAGCCGAAGTCAGTCGCTTGACCGACTGAGCCGCCCAGGCGCCCCTCCTCTCTTGGTGCTGGCTGCCTGGGCAGGTGGCCAGAGCTCCCCCTGTGTCCCACCGCCCACCCCGGACCCTCGTCCAGACCTGGAGCCCAAGAGGAAAGAAGAGACGTGCCAGGCAGTTAACAAGCGGACGGAGAAAGTGTCTCAGTCGGAGACTAAGGAGTCAGGAACGGGACACAGGGAGGGGCCCCGCGTCACCAAAATGCCATGGGGAGGAGTCAGGAAATAGGAACCGAGCCTGCAGGAACGTCAACAGCATGGTCCCAAGGTCAGTGTCTTGGTCTTGTTATCGCCGCGAGGTGGGGGAAGCTGGTGCCACACGGAGCACCATGTACGGTTGCAGCAGCTGCTCACAGGTCTCGGGTGATCTCCAAATAATATGTTTAAAGCTTGTAGACTTAATTCTTCAGGAGAATTAAAGGAGGTCCCGCTGCCTTTTCTATCTTGGCACATCAGAAGACAATTTTGTCAGACTGCCTTATTTCTTGGCCCCTCCCACTGTGACCCAGGCAGGTCACCCAGACCCCGGGACAAAGGTCTATGGAGGCCGTGGGGAAACAGGACAGAGCAGCTGGCCTCTTTTTTTTTTTTAATTTTTAATGTTTTTTTATTTATTTCTGAGAGAGAGACACACACACACAGCATGAGCAGCGGAGGGTCAGAGAGAGAGGGAGACAAAGAATCTGAAACAGGGCCCAGGCTCTAAGCTGTCAGCACAGAGCCCGACGTGGGGCTCGAACCCACGAACCGTGAGATCATGACCTAAGCGAAAGTCGGAGGCTTAACCGACTGAGCCACCCAGGCACACCAGCCGGCCTCTTCTTAATGCTATGGCATTTCCCTAAATTCTTTATTGTGCCTGTTGCTCAGGCCAAAAACCTTGGGGTCACCCTTGGCTCCTCTCTCTCACACCCCACCTTCCCACACCAGCAGTTGCTTTGGTTTGCCTTCCGATCACATATCCTGACCACTTCTTTTTAAAAAAAATTTTTTTGTTTGTTTTATTTATTTTTGAGACAGAGAGAGACAGAGTTCGAGTGGGGGAGGAGCAGAGAGAGAGGGAGACACAGGATCTGAAACAGGCTCCAGGCTCTGAGCTGTCAGCACAGAGCCCGACGTGGGGCTCGAACCCACGAACTGTGAGATCATGACCTGAGCCGAAGTCGGATGCTTAACCAACGGAGCCCCCCAGACGCCCCAATCCCGACCACTTCTGACCACCTCCATTGCTCTTTCTCCTTCCTTTCCAGCCTCTCTGGTCTCCTTGCCCACCCCCAGTCATGCCAGACACATGCACGCCACAGGGCCTTTGCACTGACCGCATCTGTGTCCCTCAGAAAGCTGCACTGCTCATGTCCGTCCACATGGATGGATCCTGCACAGTCCCATTTCGTCATTGCAGGGAGGCCTACTTTAAGTGCACCCCCACCCTACACTTCAGACCCTCTTTATTCTGCTCTATTTCCTTTCTGTAGCCCCTTCTGCTAACATACAATTTAATATACTTATTGATTATGTTGATCGTTTGCCTCTGTGTTCCTCCTGCTGGAATATAAATTCCCAGGGATGGGGATTTTTTTCTATATTGTTCCCTGCTGGCTCCCAGCACCTCGAGCAGTACCTGGCTACCTGTAACTAGTTGTCAGGACAGTGATCAGTGTGGGAGAAGGGTGAATGACAACCACTTTTTCCTCTCCAGGGACAAGCCTGGGCAAACTGCTCACAGAACTATCCTTTTATAGGTTTTTGTTCATCCAGAGCAGAACATGCACTATGTCCAGCCAAGGCCAAAACCCAAATAGGGTCTGTTCACAAGCGCTAGCTTCAAAGGGCAGGAGCACTTGGCCATGAAAACACTCAGATGTGAGTTTGTCTGAGTGTAGCCTCAGGCAGATTATTACATGTTTTTTTTTTTTTAGCGTTTATTTAGTTTTGAGAGAGAGACACACACACAGAGTGCAAGTGGGGGAGGGGCAGAGAGAGAGGGAGACACAGAATCTGAAGCAGGCTCCAGGCTCTGAGCTGTCAGCACAGAGCCCGACGTGGGGCTCGAACCCACAGACTAGGAGATCATGACCTGAGCCGAAGTCAGACGCTTAACTGACTGAGCCATTCAGGCGCCCCCAGATTATTTAATCTCACTGTGCCTCAGTTTCCTCATCCATCAAATGGAGATTAATAACTCCTGCACCTAAAAACAACCAAAAAATAACTCCTGCATCACCGTGTTGTCGTGAGAGACGAATATGGTTAAATGTGGTCACATGTGCCAAGCCGTCAGCACGTAGGTGTCTGGCCCAGAAGAAGCACTCAAAGAATGAGAGTGAAAACCGCATTTGTAAAGGTGACTGTTTAAAATTCAAAATAGACTTCCCGCCCTCCCCCCCAGAGATTTAATGAAAAAAAGGGAATTATTCCCTAGAGCTCCCAAGAAAGTTTGGTGACAGAACTGAGAACGTATAATCAGCTCAAGGTTGGTGCCAGTGAACGTTTACTGAGGGCCACTGTCCCGGTGACAGCTAGGACAGACGACCTAAGCACCGCACAACTTTACTTACCTTCTGGCTCTGGACTCATCAGGTGGAGTAGAAATCAATTGTCCGAACTCAAATGACACTTAAATGCCATCTTTCTGGGCGAGCAAGCTGAGGCCTGGGGAGGGTGTAAATCACGTGCCCAGGGTCATGCGGCGGCTGCTGCCGAGATCAGGCTCCTTTTGATGTTCAACACGACTGTATGCATAACTATGAGATGGAACAAAAATATCTCCTTTGCAACAAAAATGTCCCAAAGGCTTCTAAACGACGAACAACTGTGTCACTGCTCTTAGGCAAACGTGAGTCCTGAGCTCCCTTCTCCAGCGTCTCCTTTAGGTGGTGTTTTATACCAGCTCCCAGGCAGCCGGGGAGAGAGAGGTCTCCTTCCGTTCTGCCTCCAGCCTGGAGGAAACGAACCGGTTATTGACATGGCGCCCAGCGCGCCCCCTGCCGACCATTAGTGGTATCCATTTCCAGGACTCCAGTCCTTGCCCCAACTGAACCTGGGTCTTGGGCAGGGCTGAGGGTGTGAGAGTGGCCGTGGACTTGACCTATAGCCTTTGCAACGCGCGTTCTGTGATTTGGGTTGTGCGTTCATCTGAGGAGGGCTGAGGAGACCACTCCCTCCCCCAACACTCCGCACCATCACCAACTTGTTCCTTCAACGGCACTTAACTAAACGTAGTATTTATCGGGTCCTGCCATGTGCAGGCATCGTGCTCAGAGCTGTAGGAAATATGGAGATTAATAAGAGCTTTCTGTCTATTCACAAAGACAAAAGTATCATGTTCAAGCCGTGGAGCCCCTGACGTGTGGATGAGTGAGCTCTGCCTTGTGTAAAGGCCGTAACGGTCAGCAGCCTCGACCGTGAGACAGATGCACAACACGGCGCACAGTGCGTCCTCCATAAATGTCAGGGGTCGTCGTCTTTACCACCGGTCAGGATAAATGGACTCACCGAAGGTCCCAGAGTGGGAGATAAAGGGCAGGATTAAGGTGTGGGTGTATCTGTTTTGGCTCAAATGCTTCCCTCTTGGCACCCCCATGGCGCTGGAAAAAACAACTTGGGCTTCGATGGCTTCTCTGTCTTCCTGGAAGGGCCAGCGAGAGTGGAGTGGGGCCTTATTTCCCACACCTCCTCCTGTAGCTGAGGAAGGTCCGGGGGCTGCTGGCCAGGGGGTGGGCCCGGTGTCTGGGAGCCAGGGGTACAGGCCACCTGTCCCAGTTACTACGGCTAACGGGGTCTTCTCTGCAAGACGTCTTGGGTCTTCAACCTGCTAAGGAATCTGCTCTGGGAAGGAGATGAAGGGGTGACCCTCTGTCAAGGAGTACTCTGAGGGATAAGTTTGCAGAGTTGGAAATTGGGTCATGTGGGGACCCTGTACAGCCAACCAAGATGGCAGCTGTCCTTGGTGCTTCTGAAAATCAGCCCTGGCCTTGTGCGGCCACCTCAAGAGCCAAGTTGGACAGACCCCACTACACACTACAGAGGAAGAGGGAGACAGGAGGCGACTTCCTAGAAATGATGGCTGAGCCATGTGCTCCAGAAGGGGTAGGAGAGGGTGTGTGTGTGTGTGTGTGTGTGTGTGTGTAAATATTTTTAAGGGAATATTGTCTAAATCCCAGAGCTATGTCTTTTATTGTCAGGCCCTACATTAATTACCAGTCTATTTATGAGAAAGTAAGTAAAAAGTTCAGGTTAAAAAAGATTTTTTAAATGTTTATTTTTTTGAGAGAGACAGTGCAAGCTGGGGAGGGGCAGAGAGAGAGGGAGACACAGAATGTGAAGCAGGCTCCAGGCTCTGAGCTGCCAGCACAGAGCCCAATGTGGGGCTCAAACCCACAAACTGTGAGATCATGACCTGAGCTGAAGTCGGCCGCTTAACTGACTGAGCCCTTCAGGCGCCCCTGCTCAGATTTTAAAGAACTAAATATCAGTAGGATTTTTTTTTCACTCAAGCTAACATTAAGTAATGTTTAGAACTTTTCCGTGCCGTCTCTTTAGTTCTCCTTGAACTGTTTACAGAGAACCGGAGGGCCTCAAACACACACACACACCTCTGGTCTTAGAAGGGGCAGGAGGGTGAGAAACGAGGGTCACACAGGAGATGCTTAGGCGTTAGCACGCATGGGGGTGGGCATGTGAGCACAGCCAAGCGGGGGCGCCAGAGGTGGGGCAGAGGCACATAAATGGCCTTTTTACTCCAGTGTCTATTACTTGCAACCGGAAGCCTTCTTAGAATATTCCTCTCGGTTCTGCTTCACTCTGCATCGAGTCCACTTTCCACTCTGTGCTTCTGAGTCTCAAGTTCAATTCTTTAAGCTCTAAACGCTGCAGGAGGTCAGAGCTTCTCTCCTGCCCAAGGCCCACAAATGGCCTGAACCTGGGCTTCCTTAGGAAGGCTTGAGTCGGCTGCCCATTCCTAACGGGTTAAGAGCCTAGAAATTGCCAGGGTCATGGCCTTTCTCCTGTACCTTCAAGGGCAAGGAGGACAGGTGGGGAGCTGACCCATCCACCTTGAGGGCCTTGCGAGGACCTGGACATCTGCTTGCATGTGATGAGACCAGTTGTGAGATCGAGCCCCGCATCAGGCTCTGTGCTGAGTGTTGAGCCTGCTTGGGGTTCTCTCTCCCTCCCTCTCTGCCCCTTCCCCACTCATGGTCTGTCTCTCTCCCCAAAATAAATAATTAAACATTAAAAAAAAAAATGAGATGAGACCAGTGAAGGTCAAAGTCATCAGGACCAGCACTGAGTGTGGAATCCAGGCATCCTGGCCCTCGACTGCCTGGAACACTTTCTTGACACTTTGAGTTATGGTGACCCGCCCAGAGTGTGATTCTGCAGGTTTTGAAAATGCAGATCAGCCAAGCCCAGTCTGTAGCCTCCGTAATCTCCCCACAGTGCTGTCCCCAGCCCTGGGGGCCAAGCCTAGATAAGCCACCCCGGGCCTGCCCATCGGGCACCAGCGGAGAAGGCAGTGTCCCCTCCCCTGGGTCCCATGGGCAATATACAGGCTCTCCCGTTATGGGGGTGGGGGAGCGCTTGGAAAACCCTGGAGCAAAACTCAGTCCTCATAATAGCTACCATTCCTGAGGATGACCGAATGCCAGGCGCTGTGCCCGATGCCACAGGGCCTTCCGCTGAAGGCTCACACAGCCTGCTGATGTATTACCACCCCCGCTTGACAGACGAGGAGGGAAGCGCAGCGAGGAAGCAGTTTGCTGGGTCACACGGCCAGGACGTGGCAGAGGGCAGCGGGCTAGGTCTGTCTGACGCCGCGGCCGTGCTCTCAAGTCATGGCCCCTCTGTCTCCATGTCCCCCTTCAAACGCATTGCTAGTCTCTTGTCAAATGGTTTCGACCTTTTTCATCAAAATGGGTTACGTGATAGGCAACGCATAATGGTATCAATTTTGTTCCAATCTGCATCGTCAATCTGTTAAAATACTCCTATAAAAATTAATGCTGGGGGCGGCTGGGTGGCTCAGTCTGTTGAGCGTCGGACTTCGGCTCAGGTCATGATCTCACAGTTCATGGGTTCGAGCCCCACGTCGGGCTCTGTGCTGCCAGCTCAGAGCCTGGAACCTGTTTCAGATTCTGTGTCTCCCTCTCTCTCCGACCCTCCCCTGTTCATGCTGTCTCTCTGTCGCACACTGTCTCTCTCTCTCTCTCTCAGAAATAAATAAAATATTAAAAAAAAAGTTAATGCTGGAAACGTAAACTAAAGCCACAATGGTTATTATTTTTAAAAATTAAAAATATGAAGTACGGCGGAGGACGCGGTAAAACTAGAACCGTGGCTCACTCTCGGGGGGATGTACGATGGGGCGCTCACTACGGAAAACAATATGGCCGCCCCTCAAAAAATTAAACATTACGTTATTTTCTGTAGCTTTTTATTTTTATTCATTAAAAAAAAGCTTGTTTATTTATTTTGAGAGTGAGAGAGAGAGAAAGAGAGCATGAGCAGGGGGGCAGAGAGAGGGAGGGAGAGAATCCCAACCAGGCTGACAGGTGCTGTCAGAACCAAGCCTGACACGGGGCTCGATCTCAGGAATCATGAGATCATGGCCTGAGCTGAAACCAGGAGCTGGATGCTTAACTGACTGGGCCACCCAGGCGCCCCGTGTACTTTTTAATTTTTAAAAAACTGAAGAAAGGAAAATGTACATGCCACATTTTCTGATCACAATGCAGGAAAAACAAAGAGTGGATATGAAAAGATGTCTAAAATCGAAATCAAATTGTATGGATAATTAACAATTTTCACCTCCTAAATCACTCAGATCAGGTGAAAATCAAAACCAAAAATTCAGACTACTTAGAAAAAAATGCAAAAATGAGACCACACCCACTTAACTCTGGAATTTGGTCAAAATATAGTCAAAAGAACATAGAAAGGCATTATTAATTGCATTAAAGGGGCGCCTGGGTGGCTCAGTCAGTTGAGCATCCGACTCCAGCTCAGGTCATGATCTCACAGTTGGTGAGTTCGAGCCCCGCGTCGGGCTCTGTGCTGACAGCTCAGAGCCTGGATCCTGCTTCGGATTCTATGCCTCCTTCTCTCTCTACCCCTCCCCCACTTGCGCTCTGTCTCCCTCTCTCTCTCAAGAATAAATAAGCATTAAACAACTATTTTTAAATAATTTCATTTACCAAAAAAAAAAAAAAAAAAAAGATGCTTAAATGCAGCGTGGGATCCTGGATTGAATCCTGAACAGACAGGACATCAGTGAGGAATCTGGTGGAATGGGAATGAATAAGGTCTGTAGTTAATCATTTGGTACCAGTTATTTTTTTTTTACTTTTAACAAATGCAGGATGTCATGATTAGGGGAAGCTAAATGAAGGGTATGTAGAGACTTTCTGTAACATCTTTGCAATTTTCCTGCAAATCTAAAATTATTTCCGAATAAAAAGCTCAAAGAAAAAGATGGCAGTTTATAGCTACACGGGTGTCCAGAGGAAAGGCATCGAGCATCTGCTCGGCGGTAAGTGTCCTGGTGAAGCCGTGTGGACTTGAACCCTGCGCTGGGGCGCTGGCCTCCCGTTTCCACTCCTCTGGCCCTGCCACTGGGAGCAGCCCTTGGAGGCCAGTTCTACAATGTTCTGGGAGCTGCTCCTCGAAGCTCCACCCACAGCCCACCCCTCCCACCCTTGCACTAATTTCGTAAGCATTGACTCTCCCCCCTCTCCCCCCCCCCGTCACCCCTTTTCTGCTTAAATCGGCTGTGGTAGTTTCTGCTCTTCTCAAATGACTCCTAACTGAAATGCCCACGGAAATACTGAGTATATTCACCCCATAGACGGAAGTGAAAAACTTATCAAAAATTTACCTCCTTCTGCACCAAAAAAGGTGCTAATCTTTGATAGTGTTTACAGGCAAATTT